ACAAATGGACTTTAGGAGCTCACTCCACATAGAGGGATACTCTGTCAGCCTAGACACATGGGGGAGGACCTAGGCCCTGCTCCAAATAATATGAAAGACTTTGGAGATTCCCCCATGGAAGGCCTCACCCTCCCTGGGGAGCAGAAAGGAGATGGGATAGGGGACTAGTGGGGTGCAGGGGAGGAGGGGAGGGAGAGGGAACTGGGATTGACATGTAAAACAAGCGTGTTTCTAATTTAAATTTAAAAAATCTGAAAGGAAAAAAAAGCCCTGTTGGAATCACTTAACATGCCCAATTAAAATTAAAAACCTCATCCTAGCACGGGGTTTCCCGTGTGCCTTTATAAACTGCCTTTTACCTGTGCACCACTTCTGTCTCTTCTCTATCCAGAGGTGGTCCTTCATCCCTGCGGGACAAATACCCCTCTTCTGTAGTCCCTTCCCCCTTCTCCTGTCCTCTAACTTTGTCACTTATTCCCTGCCCTTTGTCCTTCTCGGGCAAATAAATCTCCTCTGTGCTGAGGACTTGGCTTTGGGTATTCTAAGCCCATGAGGATCCCTTCACGTTGACACTGTACTCTTTTGACTGTGCCTTTCTTAAGAAATATGTGTGAGGCTGAGGTGTTTTTACCTTCTCTCTCTGTCTTATTCTGTTTATGCTTTTTAACATAAAGTTTCTTATAACTTTTTTGCTTAATTGTTTTTTTGTTTTTGAGATAGTGTCTCTCTATGTAGTCCTGGCTGTCCTGGAACTTGTTCTGTAGACCAGGCTGGCCTCGAACTCATAAAGTTCCACCTGCCTCTGCCTCCAGAGTGCTGGGATCAAAGGGTTGCACCAGAATGCTGGATCCCCGGCTCTTGCAACATCTTAAATGCTCCCTTCAAAACAAAAGAAAAGAAAGCTCCCTTTCTTTTTAGATGTTATGGTATCCGATCCAGGGAGTCTGCTCCAATTCCTTTAGACTTAACTCTTTTCACGTTGTTATTTTGTCAGCAGAAGCCAGACTTCCCACAGCCATTTTCTGCCTTTGTTCCAGGAGCCTAAATGGTCTTGAATACACTCACAGCTCTTCATTTGGCCTCCATTTCTGATCTACGGGGATGCTTATTTGATTATACTCAGATTCAGATTCTCCACGTACTCGCATGCATTGCTCTTGCTAATATTTTGGAGGAAGAGAATATTATTCCATTTTAGAGACATGTTGGTGTTTAGAGGAATATTAATAAGTAACCAGGATTTTCAAGTCTTTAAAGGCCTTTGACCTGCACTAATTCATTTAATCCTCACAAGAGCACTTCTAGGTGAATGCTGATACTATTCTCTAGCATGATTCATTTCTATTTACTTTAATGAGTGCTGAGTGCTGAGACTAATGGCTAATTTGTACAGGGTGGAGTAGTTTGCTCATGGAGCAGCCAGGATGCAGCCTGGCCAGAGGGGCCAGAGAAGCACAAAAGGAAACAGGTTCAGACCCAAGGATTGAATGTCAGGTGATTAACATAGTGCTGATGCCTTGAGTGACAAGTTTTGAAGGACTCGGGGAGCAGAAGAATGCTTTAGAGTTAAGGAGGTCACCGTGATCTGAGAAAATGTGGCCTTATCAGATGGGGGAAGTCCTTCTTTCTATATGTTTATCTTATTGGTTGATGAATAAAGCACTGTTGGCCAATAGGGAAGCAAAATAGGTGGGGCTAGGAGTCGAGGAGGATTCTGGGAAATGTAGTAAAGAGTAGGGAGTCACCATGCGATCCTGGGGAGAGGGGACACATGAGGCTGCATCCCTGGTAGCCTCCATGTATTAACCATGTAACCATTGGTTAATAATTAAGACAGAAATAGCCAATGAGAGCCCCAGACAATGGCCAACAGTTTCATAATTAATATAGCATCCTGCATGTTCATTTGAGGTGGCTCTGGGACCAGGCTGGTGGGAAGCAGGAAGAATGCTCGTTACACCTATCAGCATTGTAGCCCCGAGAACACAGCAGAAAATGTAACACACAACCTTAAGAGACCGATTAGAGATATGAGGGAGAAGGGGGAAGCATTAGTTGTTAATAATACGGCAGAAAATATAACACACAGCATTAAGAGACCAATTAGAGATATGAGGGAGAAGAGAAGTATTAGCTGCTCTCTTGTTGTTTAACAAATGCTTGAGAAAACTCATCTGAAAGACCAGTGCTGCTTAAGGAGGAAGCCTTTATTTTGCTTGGCAATTTAAAAAGGGGTACTGTCCAGAGCAGAGGAGGCAGGAGTGATGGGAGTACAGCATAGCGGGTTATACTGAGAGTGCAGTCAGGAGGCACATGGAGGCCAGTAAGCGGGTCTAGGCTCCACAAACCTCAAGACTGTCCCCAGCGACTCACTTCCTCCAGAGAGGCTCCAACCTTTATGGGTTCCATAAGCTTCAAAACCAGCACAGTCAGCAAGCATTGAATAATGTGGCACTAAGTGTTCAAACTGATTAATCCTTAGGTGATGGGGAAGTCCTGT